AAACTGATTCTCGAAGCGGAGACTCTTGTAAAATATTTTAACTATCCAACGAGAAGGCAAACAATTAATCTCATGTAATTTCTGGCGCTATAATGAAATATTATTACCTGAAAAAAAAATAATCTCAGTGCCACTGGCCTCTTACTTCAGTGCCTGAGCCAAATTTAAGCTTTTTCTCCACCCATATATTTACTAATCATATCCCAAAGGATGTTATTAGTCTAATGGCGCCACCCTTTTCTTGACACCCAATTTGTTGCAGCTCCCATAAGTGGGTGGGTGGTGAGGGAGGAATGGACGTGATGTGGGAAGGGTGGGTGGGAACTTGAGATTGTAGGGTACGTGCATTTAGGATAGGATTAGCGAAAAGTAGTTGTATGATGGGCGGTTAGTGCAGATTGTGGGTGATGGCAGATAGTGGGTGATGTGTGGGTGATGCTCGGGTAGGTGGCAAGGTGTGGGTGAGTAAGTGCCCAAACCTCAACATCCCATCCTTAGCTCTCTAAATAATACTTTCACTAACTCCACACCTCATCCTAAACTTGAAACTCTGAATTCTCTGCATTATACTCACACCACACATTGCACTCAAACACGATATCGCTACTGCCTGCAGCCTCATCACTGCAGGGTAGGAGGCAGCCATACAACAGTGTTGGTACCAATATGCATTCCCAATTATTCCTCCAGGGATGAGGTTCTTAGTCTCCACAGTTGTTTCAATGCATCAGCCACATTTTTCTCCTCTTTTATTCTACGACTGATCTCATCTTTCACACACCCACCGACTGACAAGTCAACTCCCAAATATCTGAACACATTTACTTCTTCCGTACTCCTTCCAATCTTATATCTAATTTTTCAATGCCTTCATTATTTTTGGTGGATGGAGGGGAAGGGGGGGTATGCTGGTGGAAAATGTGGCTAATATACGGGAGTGGGTGAGTGATGTGGGGTATGCAGGTGGTGTGGGTGAGTGGTAGCAGCAACTCTGCCTCGTGAGACATTCATTCTAGGCACACACTAAGGAACTTTCCTGCCCGTAATGGCACTCATGAACTCCTTCAGCGTGACCAGCGAATGGCCTGGGTCACGGCTGGTGACCAAGGCGCTAAGAGGTCATTCGTGGTCACGAGAGATCGCCAGGAATTACAAAACCCCGCTGGAATTTCCAAATTACACTTTAGGTCAGTATAACTAGTGAGGGAACCCCTCCCCACAAGATACACCTGTTAGACAAGATAAGTTTGGCAAGAAGCGCGTTGCTATTTAAACCAAAACGCGATTTTCGCAATAAGACAAGCGAAAATTTGTGTATGCAATAATTTACCCAAAAATCATTCTGAACCTAACGAAAAAAATATATTTCGTTGTGTTTATTATTAAGTTATCTAAAATATAGTTAGTTAGATTAGGCTAAATTAAATTGTGCTTGTTATAATAAGGTCAGGTAAGCTTTTTAAGGTTCATTTGGTACAAAATTATTAATTTTTACATTAACATAAATGAAAAAAAAATATCTTTAAACGTATAAGAGAAAATTTTTAGAAAGGACTTAAGTTTAAACGAGTTCTTGCTAACTGACCAGTTTTACCTATTCGGCACCACATATATATATATATATATCCTAAACTACGATAGCATGAAGGCAAAACTAAGTTACATTTATATCCTAAAAACAGTAAAAAATAGGCTACTAATAATAAACTACGATAACATTAACAGTAATAAACTACGATAACACACAACAGTAAACTACGATAGCATACTAATAGTAAACTATAACATATTAATAGTAATAGACTGTGATAGTATATTAACAGCAAACTACGATAGCAAACTAACAGCAGTTAACTACGATAGCAAACAGTAAACTACGATAGCAAATTAACAGCAGTAAACTACGATAGCATACTAACAGTAAATTATGATAGCAAACTAACAGCAGTTAACTACGATAGCAAACTAACAGTAAACTACGATAGCATACTTGCAGTAAACTACGATAGCATACTTGCAGTAAACTACGATAGCATACTAACAGTAAATTACGATAGCATACTAACAGTAAACTACGATAGCATACTAACAGTAAACTACGATAGCATACTAACAACAGTAAACTGCAATAGCATACTAACAGTAAACTATGAGAGAATACTAACAGTAAACTACGATAGCATACTAACAGTAAACTGCAATAGCATACTAACAGTAAACTACGATAGCATACTAACAGTAAACTGCAATAGCATACTAACAGTAAACTACGACAGCATACTAACAGTAAACTACGACAGCATACTAACAGTAAACTACGACAGCATACTAGCAGTAAACTACGATAGCATAATAGCAGTAAACTACGATAGCATACTAGCAGTAAACTACGATAGCATAATAGCAGTAAACTACGATAGCATACTACAGAAAAACTACGATAGCATACTAACAGTAACTACGATAGCATACTAACAGTAACTACGATAGCATACTAACATAAACTACGATAGCATACTAGCAGTAAACTACGATAGCATACTAGCAGTAAACTACGATAGCATACTAACAGTAAACTACGATAGCATACTAGCAGCAAACTACGATAGCATACTAGCAGTAAACTACGATAGCTACTAACAGAAACTACGATAGCATACTAACAGTAAAACTACGATAGCATACTAGCAGTAAACTACGATAGCATACTAACAGTAAACTACGATAGCATACTAACAGTAAACTACGATAGCATACTAACAGTAAACTACGATAGCATACTAACAGTAAACTACGATAGCATACTAACAGTAACTACGATAGCATACAACAGTAAACTAAGATAGCATACTAGCAAGTAAACACGATAGCATACTAACAGTAAACTACGACAGCATACTAACAGTAAACTACGACAGCATACTAGCAGTAAACTACGACAGCATACTAGCAGTAAACTACGATAGCATACTAGCAGTAAACTACGATAGCATACTAGCAGTAAACTACGATAGCATACTAGCAGTAAACTACGATAGCATACTAACAGTAAACTACGATAGCATACTAACGTAAACTACGATAGCATACTACAGTAAACTACGATAGCATACTAGCAGTAAACTACGTAGCATACAAAACAGTAAACTACATAGCATACTAGCAGTAAACTACGATAGCATACTAACAGAAAAACTACGATAGCATACTAACAGTAAACTACGATAAACATACTAGCAGTAAACTACGATAGCATACTAACAGTAAACTACGATAGCATACTAACAGTAAACTACGATAGCATACTAGCAGTAAACTACGATAGCATACTAGCAGTAAACTACGATAGCATACTAACAGTAAACTACGATAGCATACTAGCAGTAAACTACGATAGCATACTAACAGTAAACTACGATAGCATACTAACAGTAAACTACGATGCATACTACAGTAAACTACGATAGCATACTAGCAGTAAACTACGATAGCATACTAACATTTAAACTACGATATCATACTAACAGTAAAACTACGATAGCATACTAGCTAAACTACGATAGCATACTAGCAGTAAACTACGATAGCATACTAACAGTAAACTACGATAGCATACTAACAGTAAACTACGATAGCATACTAACAGTAAACTACGATAGCATACTAACATTTAAACTACGATAGATACTAACAGTAAACTACGATAGCATACTAACAGTAAACTACGATAGCATACAGCATAAACTACGATAGCATACTAACAGTAAACTACGATAGCATACTAACAGTAAAATACGATAGCATACTAGCAGAAAAACTACGATAGCATACTAACAGTAAACTACGTAGCATCTAGCAGTAAACTACGATAGCATACTAGCAGTAAACTACGATAGCATACTAACAGTAAACTACGATAGCATACTAGCAGTAAACTACGATAGCATACTAGCAGTAAACTACGACAGCATACTAGCAGTAAACTACGATAACATACTAGCAGTAAACTACGATAGCATACTAGCAGTAAACTACGATAGCATACTAGCAGTAAACTACGATAGCATACTAGCAGTAAACTACGATAACATACTAGCAGCAAACTACGATAACATACTAACAGTAAACTACGATGCATATAACAGTTAAACTACATAGCATACTAACAGTAAATTTACGATAGCATACTAGCAGTAAACTACGATAGCATACTAACAGTAAACTACGACAGCATACTAACAGTAAACTACGACAGCATACTAACAGTAAACTACGACAGCATACTAGCAGTAAACTACGACAGCATACTAGCAGTAAACTACGATAGCATACTACAGTAAATACGATAGCATACTAGCAGTAAACTACGATAGCATACTACAGTAAACTACGATAGCATACTAGCAGTAAAACTACGATAGCATACTAACAGTAAACTACGATAGCAAAACTAACAGTAAACTACGATGCATACTAGCAGTAAACTACGATAGCATACTAACATTTAAACTACGATAGCATACTAACAGTAAACTACGATAGCATACTAACAGTAAACTACGATAGCAATAACAGAAAAACTAGGGATAGCATACTGCAGTAACTACGATAGCATACTAACAGTAAACTACGATATCATACTAACAGTAAACTACGATAGCATACTAACAGTAAACTACAAAGGCATACTAGCAGTAAAACTACGATAGCATACTACAGTAAACTAGATAGCATACTAACAGTAAACTACGATAGCATACTAACAGTAAACTACGATAGCATACTAACAGTAAACTACGATAGCATACTAACAGTAAACTACGATAGCATACTAACAGTAAACTACGATAGCATACTAACAGTAAACTACACTAAAGTTTAAGTAACTCCGGTTCCAACTCCTCGCGTCTTACTTAGGGAAGGAAAGTATGCGATCAGAATATACGTAACAATAAAGTGTATTAAAAAGTTGTATACACAGTGGTGTGTATGGGACATACCACAGCTGCTGTGCCACACAGATGAACAGCGAACACCTGGCAGGATGAGGAGAATAAATAGTTTAAATAAAGTGAGTAAATGAGAGAGAGAGAGAGAGAGAGAGAGAGAGAGAGAGAGAGAGAGAGAGAGAGAGAGAGAGAGAGAGAGAGAGAGAGAGAACAATATGAGAAAACATGACGTTGACATGACAGACAAGAGGATAATGATAGTAAATGAGAAAAGGGAATAATACATGAGGTAGAGAATGATAAGAGGGAAAAAAAGGAATACACGAGGAAGAGAATAGCAGAAGTGAAACACGGCGATAAAAACTCACGAACAGGATGATGCATATTAAAGCATGATAATAAAACATAAAGGATGATAACTGCATGATAAAATGGAATATTTCCAGTCTATCACCAGCTGGGAGAGATGGTAACGTGCCACCAGTTGGGAGAGAGGGTAACGTGCCACCAGCTGGGAGAGATGGTAACGTGCCACCAGTTGGGAGAGAGGGTAACGTGCCACCAGCTGGGAGAGATGGTAACGTGCCACCAGCTGGGAGAGATGGTAAGGAAGCAACAGCCAGCTGCAGTGCCGTTCAACTCGCCTTAATAATCTCTTCACTGTCGCAGTAACATCAATAAGACATCAATATCAAGAAGATATAAGCAAAGTCCACCAGTCAGCAGAGGAGAATAACATGACGTTCAACGAAGACAAGTTCTAACTGCGCAGATATGAAAACAGGATGAACTGAAAACAGACCCTGTTTACAAAACACCAGAGAATCACCAATGAAAACGTTAAGAATAATAAATCAGCTGACCTTAGTTTCAAGGAACACAACAAAGCAAATGTCAAGAAAGCCAGGAAAATGACGGAGTGGATAATGAGAACTTTCAAAATAAGGGAAATGGTTAATGATGACACTTTTCAAATAGCTTATGCTCCCTCTTGTTCAGTGTTGATGGCTCCTCTCAGGGCAAGAGAGATATCAGAGCTGGAACAGACTCAAAGATCATTTACGGTCCGAATAAAGACAAATCATTTAAATTAATGGGAACATCTCGAAGTCCTAAATATGTACTCACTGAAGGAGAGAGAGAGAGAGAGAGAGAGAGAGAGAGAGAGAGAGAGAGAGAGAGAATGACAATATATATGTCGAAGGCACTAGACAGCCTGGTCCTAAATCATCATAATGCCATAAACTGGCGTGAGAGATATGGAAGGAAATATAAAATAAACCCAATGAAAAGCAGGGGCACCGTGGACACAATAAGAGAACACTGTATCAACATTCGTGGTCCCAGACTAAAGATTTTCCAGATGTCAGAAACACTGCCGAGACGAGTGTTGTAAGTTTTCAGGAGCAAACTGGAGAAGTTATGGAGAGGATCAACGGTTATGGTGCCGGATCACCAAGGCAGTGATGGATATGTGAACCAGCCAGCAGCAACAGCCTGGTTGAGCAAGCAAGCACCATTCAAGCCTGGCCCAGGGCAGGGCCGCGGGAGGAGGAAATACCTCGAACCCCATCAAAGGTATATTAAGAAATCAGCGTCAAGAAATCAACGTCCAGCCACTGGTTCTGAAGTGAGGCTGGAAGATGAAGGTGGGGGTGGTGGATGTGGGTGTAGGTGGGGGTGGTGGATGTGGGTGTAGGATAAGGTGGAGAGTGAGGGTGGAGAGTGGGGGTGAGGGGTTTAGGGAGGCATCTGGAGGATCAGGTGTACACCAATTCCCAATTAAGGCTGCAGTTTCCACTAGTCAATATCGATGGTTCCTCTGCGTTGCTGCTCTCCTGCACTCCCACACCCACTCTCCTTCGCCCACGCCCACTCTCCCACATCCATTCTCCCTCGCCCACACCCACTCTCCCTCACAAAACCTATCTCCCAACGTAGTCTCTAACTTGTGAGTTAAAAACAAACCAATGAATCATACATAAAATTATATATAAACAACACCCGTCTACTAACCAATGTAGTAACATACACGAGCGTCATTCAGAACAATAACGAAAATCAATGATTATCAAAACTGTACTAAAAACAAAGGCATGGTGTACAGACAAGCTGTGTTGCAGTGACCACCACCTGTACAGTGATGGTTCAGTCAACAGTGTACCGCCGGCCACACTAAACCAGACTGTACATCACACACAAACAATAACTGCAATAATGCTACCAACATCATATTCAACAACTACATTAACCCTTTACTAATGAAGCTGACTCTACTCAAGCAGGCAACCCACATGCTACAACACACTGCAGAAGTGACCTCGTTGAATCCCAAGGCGGGTCGACAGGGTCTAAAAATAGACACCTGCACTTTTATGACGATAAAACTGACATAAATATTGCACAGATCAAAGGCTTTACCATCTCCGTCGTATATATACCTTCCCATATTATTGTATCCATAAACACGTGATTTTCAAGCAATTAACAGACTGACCGGGGATCGAACCCGTATTATTTTAGCCCGCCTCGTGGGGAGCAAGTCAAAATCCACGACGCTCTAACCACTGATTCATCAATCCCACATACATCATGTACCCCGTAGCACTAGTGCATATGCATTGTGTATTTGTGCGGGTTACCTGTGTATTGTTCCAGTCACGGTATTGTGCCTTTTTGTTCCGTAACCAAAGTGTTCTACATGTAAGCTGTGTGAATACGACCAGGGACACCACTTTCGACATTATATAATTGAATGCTCCTTTACTACTAACCTGAGGCCTAATGCAGCTGTGTAAATATCTCATACACTAAGAGTGCTCAATGAAACCCTCATTGTTCACTCTAAATTTGCATCATTAACTAGCAACCCACCAACAACCCAGTTGTGTAATCAACTGTGTTAATTATACAGGTACATAGTCACATACAAGAGGATGTGTATTTGTTCAATCTTATACCTCTCTCACAACTTTTGTTCCGAGTAGGGAAATTAGATCTAACAAACATGATCCCAGATGGATGAACAATAGATTAAAACATCTCATTGGTCAGAAGAGAGGCATATATAGGCGTATCAAAAGAGGGGATGGGCAGTTAAGAAATCAATATACATGTATTCAATTAAAGAGAGAAATAAAGAAAGGAATAAGAAAAGCAAAAAGGGATTATGAGGCTAAGGTCGCAAGGGATTCAAAGACTAACCCAAAAGAGTTCTTTCAGGTATACAGAAATAAGATTAGGGACAAGATTGGCCCACTTAAAAGTAACTCTGGTCAGATCACTGACAGTGATAAGGATATGTGTGAAATTCTCAATACCTACTTCCTCTCAGTTTTCACCTAGGAAAATACTAGCGATATTCCTGAAATAGTTTATGTAGAACTGGATGATGATAAACTATGTACGATTGTGGTAACTAGTGATATGGTCCTCAGACAAATAGAGAAACTAAAACCTAACAAATCCCCAGGCCCTGATGAACTGAGTGTGTGTGTGTGTGTGTGTGTGTGTGTGTGTGTGTGTGTGTGTGTGTGTGTGTGTGTGTGTGTGTGTGTGTGTGAGTATGAGTGTGTGTGTGTGTGTGTGTATGAATTTGTATGTGTGTGTGTGTGTGTGTGTGTGTGTGTGTGTGTGTGTGTGTGTGTGTGTGTGTGTGTGTGTGTGTGTGTGTGTGTGTGTGTGTGTGAGAGAGAGACTCAGCAATCAACATTTGCACCAATAACTCACTACAGTTGTGACCGGGTGTGGAAGTGTGGATTGCTCATTACTCTAAAATTTGTTCATGATTGCAGCCATGTATACACGTAAGTAACCATTCTTACAGTATTCATTACCTTTGTAACTTGTGAGTTCATTACCTTGTACCTAGTTCAGCCATCAAAACTTTGGAGCCCGGTCCCTGGACCCATTGTGTACCTCTGTAATCTGTAAATACCTTTGTAACTTGTCATGATTGTGACTAGACCTACCTGGAGTTCATTACCTTTGTAAATTGTGAGTTCATTACCTTTGTAAATTGTGAATTCATTACCTCTGTAACTTGCTCAGCTATCAAAACTTTGACGCCCAGTCCCTGGACCCATTATGTACCTCTGTAATCTTTTGACTACCGCCCACTGGATGGGTATGGGGTGCATAATAAACATATTAAACTAACTAACTGATGAACTGTTTGCAAGGGTGTTAAAGGAATGTAAAGAGGAACTTAGCATACATTTGGCTAATCTTTTTAACATATCACTACAAACTAGCATAGTGCCTGATAAGTGGAAAATGGCAAATGTAATACCTATTTACAAGGCAGGTGACAGGTCCTTGGCTTCGAACTATAGACCAATAAGCCCTACCTCCTTAGTGGGAAAATTTATGGAATCAATAATTGCCGAAGTAATCAGTAGCCATCTTGATAGGCACAGATTGATTAATGAATCTCAACACGGTTTTACAAAGGGGCGTTCCTGTCTTGCGAATTTACTAACTTTTTTCACTAAGGTGTTTGAGGAGGTAGATCATGGTAATATGATATTGTGTATATGGACTTCAGTAAGGCTTTCGATAGAGTTCCACACCAGAGGCTACTGAGGAAACTTAAGGCACACGGAATAGGAGGAGAAATTTTTTCGTGGGTAGAGGCATGGCTGACAAATAGGCAGCAGAGAGTTTGCATAAATAGGGAGAAATCAGAATGAGGGCACGTCACAAGCGGTGTTCCTCAGGGGTCAGTGTTGGGCCCGTTGTTATTCACAATTTACATAAACGACATAGATGCGGGAATAAATAGCGACATAAGCAAATTTGCTGATGACACCAAAATAGGCCGTCCAATTCATTCTAATGAGGACACTAGAGCACTCCAGGATGATTTGAATAGACTGATGTAATAGTCGGAGAAGTGGCAGATGCAGTTTAATATTGACAAATGCAAAGTTCTAAATGTTGGAAAGGTAAATAACCATGCCACATATAAACTAAATAATGTAGATCTTAATACTACTGATTGCAAAAAGGATTTAGAAGTTCTGGTTAGCATTAATCTAAAACCAAGACAACAGTGCATTAGTGTTCGTAATAAAACTAACAGAATT